TGAGAGAGCGAGAGGAGAAGGACGAGAGAGAGAGGGGAGCGGCGAAGAGAGAGAAGAGAGAGAGAGACGAAGATGGAGAGAGATGAGAGAGAGAGAGTATACATTCAAGTCGATATAGCTAAGTGCCCATCAAGCGGAAATGATTGCCTACACCGTTTCCTATAACAACGCGGGGACGGTCGCGGCCGCCGAACGGTAACCGACAGCAGCACCGAGTCATTTCCTCGCCTAAGATCTTATGGCATCAGCAGGTACAGTAGCCAGATTAAGGCGTACAGGTCAGAGAAAGACGACCTATGATTGCTTGCCCTCTCGTAACGAGGGCCACTGCAGTCGCGTAACCGACACTCAAGCTCTCTCTACTGTGCGACCACACGCGCGGCTATAAGATGCTGGAGTTATAGGCGCTTATTGTGCACCGTACCGTGCGTCATAATCAGCGGGCAGCGGATGATGCCTGTCTTGTCTACTCGCTTAAACAAGGCCGCTTGTTTTCATAGCGCTTCTCGATCGTCTGCCAGCCGATGACGGGATGAAGGCCGTTCACAGGCGCGGCCCCTGGCCGATCACGCAAATAGGCCCATAGAAGAACAGTAACAGCCAAGGGGCCAATGAGGCTTGAGGGCGAGCTGCAGCTCGGCGTGGGAGTGGGATCCATCCAACCAACCGCAGCGCAGGCTGAAGCTTTCTGCAGTTGTGGGCTGTCGTGTTTGGCGCTGCGTTCTTTAATCGGCGGCCGCGTTGGGTGCGGGGCCTATTTTTCGTTGATTAGTGTCTAACGGTCCTCGGAGAGCCTGCCGGAAGGTGGTTCGTTCCTGCTCCGCAACGTCTCCAAGTACGAGCGCGTCCTTTCCAGGGCGACCATGTCGGCTCCGATTCTCTGCCGATGGAAACGTCTCGTGTGGCTGTGTGCACGGCGGAGTCAGACACGGAGAGAGAGAGAGAGAGAGAGAGAGAGAGAGAGAGAGAGACAGAGAGAGAGACAACGAGAGAGACAGAGAGAGAGACAAAGAGAGAAAGACAGAGAGAAAGACAGAGAGAAAGACAGAGAGAGAGAGACACACAGAGAGAGAGACAGAGAGAGAGAGACATAGAGAGAAAGAGAGAGAAAGAGAGAGAGAGAGAAGGAGATATGTAGAGAAAGAGACGGGGTGACAGACGGAGAGAGAGATAGAGAGAGAACGCGAGAGGGAGGGACAGACAGACAGACAGACAGACAGACTGACAGACACAGAGAGAAAGAGACACAAAGAGAGAGAGAGACAGAGAGAAAGAGAGAGAGAGAGAGAGAGAGACAAAGAGAGACAAAGAGAGAGAGAGAGAAAGATAGAGAGACAGAGAGACGGTTCAGTTGACTTCTTACAACGGATACCAGGTAATTCACGTTAGTTCTCTCCATGGTAGCCTACGCTATAGATGCTTCATACCCCACGTTAATGACCCGCTACTGCACATTTCTTATCTATAGTAACACACAGCATTCGCCCATGATGTTTACCTGGTAGTTCGGCAGCGTAGCCTAGTATAGGAATCGCAGCCAGTAGGGCGAAGGCTGAAGCAATGAGCGGGCCCAGCCACCACGCACCGTACCACTGAGGGTCGCCCGGTCGCACACCTACACTTTAACACACAGAGACGGAGTGCGACACGAATACGATAAAAATGTCTGTCGACAGCTGAGAGGCATGACGGGGTACGACAACATATACATAATACAATAAAGATGGATGTGATATCATTATTACATCACGATATATATATATATTATCAAGAGTACATATTATATATATGTATGTATATATATATGATTTTATGAAACGTTTCACTTCTCTTACTTTGATATATCGATCTTCCATAGATCGCCATAGATGCTGACGAAGACTCCTCCTAATATGTAGCCGAGTGCAGGACCGACCGCTCCCAGAGCAAGGTAGGTTCCTATACGCACGGAAACATTCCATAAGAGAGTAACGGCGATCATGTAGGTAACGGTAGAGATGACACCAGTTAAGCATATAGACGTTTAAAGTCATTTGTACAGCCATCGATGCGCGCGTGCACGTAGTATTCGCTTACGATATAATAATTGTTGCATGTCAATTGATATAATTTGCGCTTAAACCAAAAAGTGAATAAAACGCCCTAGGTTTAAAAGCATATCGTAACTTGCATATTTAAAGATTTCCCTACGTGTAATATTGTATGCACCTTGCAGTAGAATGCAAGATTTGTTCATCATACAGCCGCATAGGAAAACCCGAATGACTATGTGTGTGATTGTGTGCTAACGTACATCATAGCTAGACTAACACCACTGCATCTATACCTACATGGCTGTTTACGTAATAAGTACATGCTCGGTTACGTGCTGATATAGACCTCCAAGTACATCACGGTTAGCCAAACACCATTGTATATGTGTAATTACATTGTATATGTGGAATTACATTGTATATGTGTAATTACATTGTATATGTGG